CAGCAGGAACTGTGCAAAAGCATACCAGCTGGGGCAACTTCTTCACGCTGGCCCTCCATGCCGTGCTGGGTACAACGCTACAGTGCGGCATCAGTGACTAGATTTCTTCTGAAAGGTCCAGAAGGAGGTCATGCCCATGAATTCAAGAAGGTTCAGTGAAAAGCTCTGTCTCATGGGAAACCCTAAGAACATCTCAATATGTGCATAACTTGATTACTAACAGAGACTTGAACGCTTTAGGCACATCAGTTTAAGGTCCGCCTTCCAGGAAGCTTTCAAGGGCTGAGCACAGACACAAGTGATATTTTAGTTCTGTCTTCAGATTTACGGAGAGTCAGGGCTACATTGTTAAGAACTGCTGAAGTGAGATGCTCTAATTACAGGAGAAGTGAACTGAAAATGTCTCCAAGCAGAGTGCTAGAAAGCCCAAGCCAGTGGTTACACACCTTGTTACTCAGTGTTTCAATTTTCTCCTGGTCTAGTCGATGTTGCCGACTATATGCTTCAGCTGTTAGAGATACTCTTTCCACCTCTCGATTGAGCACACAGACAATGTTTTCAAAGGTCACTGTTTTCCTCTCGAGGGCCTCACACCTTCCTAGGAGCTCCAGGGACTTGGAGAGATCTGACTCAGAGCACAGAGCATTTGCTGCCAGTAGTGGGGAGTTGCTTTGTGATGAGGAAAAGGCAGCATGATGCTTTAGGCCTCCAGATCCAGTCTTGAGGCTCAGCACAAAACTCAGTAGCATATACAGATGCTCCACCAAACATTTGCTTTCATGTTCTGGTAGCTTTTCATTTTCCACCTACATGAAGAGAAATACATCCCATTCAGCAAGCTCAATTCTACGCTGTCACCATCCACAGAACAAATTCCTCCTCTTGAGGTCACAACGTTAGCTTTAAATTATAAAGGGGAAAAAATCAAAGAAAAATAGTTAAAACACTGCTTGTTGGAAAGTTTTTGAAGAAAAGCTGCATTCATATACAATGACGGATGTTTAACGTTTCCCCAGTTGTACATACTGTTCTACTCTGTCCTCCTTCATTACTTCCCACAAGGGCTCAGCCAGAGCACCAAAGGACAATGCCTCGTGTAATTCCCCTAAGGAGGGCTGTACATCAACATTGCCATTAGGAGCTGGTAAAACTAAGTCGCATGGAGAAATATCGACTGGGCCAAGCTATGGCTAAAGAATAAGGCACCAGATGCTCAATTCTGCACTTACAGCTATAAGCACAGTAGCCACAAGGAGTCTCAAAGCACTCAGGGTATTCTCCAAAGATAACATTTCCTTCTGCACTAAGGACACAATTAGTTCACTCCGTGGACACCTAAAGTCCGGACGGCAGATCGCTCATGTACATTGCATTTGCAAAAGGTTTAAAGCACCACTTTGTTCAAATATCTGAACACAAATATCTGTAACAAGTTGGATCACAGCAGTGTGCAGGTTATAACTAACACTAGAACTGAAGACAAGTCCCTCGCTAAACATGAACAGGCAAGCCCTTACCATCTCAGCACATCCGACAACCTGAAACCTGCAAGGCACTTTACATTTGCCACAAGTCTTCACATGGTCCTGAAACTAGAAAGGAAGGAAGACGCGTTAAATAGATCTTATGTGTCCCAAGTGGCTCCCTCTTCATCTCACTGAAATCCAGAAAACTGAGGACAAACTAGAGAATAACAAAGACACGGCTAATCACTACCTTTCAAAGTGGGTGGTTAAAACTGGACACTGCCTGCTATTAGGTTCAGCTTTCACTGTAATTTAAATACAGCACTGACACCTGGAAGGAGTTTTTCCCCCTCCTTCTCTTTTTTGATGGCTACAAGGTCTCTTCAGATAGGTATGCAAGAAAAAAAAATAGTAATGAGCCCAATATATAGCACATGTTAGGGAGGCTGAGTAACAAACTTAAGCTTCACTGAGCGTAGAGGAAGGGGGAGGGATGAGGAACAGCCTCATAAAACAGATATAATTTGAAAATTGCACAAAAATGTAGATATCTGAGCAACAACAGTCATGGCTAACGCAAACCACCTGAAGGCAAGATAGTTTGAGAACCATGTTTCGTCCCAGCAATTCTGCCGGTCTTTGCTAGCACTCCATCTTATCATGCAAGTCTTAAAGCTTCTTCCCTTTTCACTGCATCCTCCCTTGTCACTTCCGGGGTCATTGTGTCCGAGAACTGTTTGCACATCTATCCAAACTCATGACTTCATGTGACCCAGGCTGGGACATGCCACAACCGGGTCTTTTCACTTCTAGCTAGACATTATAAACCTGAGATCAAAAAGCTCCCTGGTGATCCTGCCTGAGTATTTTATACTAATTACTACAGATACACCTGTGCAAGGAAAAAATTATCTGACGTGTCCAGTATCCCCTTGCTAGAGTAGAGAAGAACATCACACCTCAGTCACTTCAAATCTGGCAGCTGCAACCAAGAACGGAGACCAACGCTGGGTATCTTGCTGGAGGAAGTGCCAAGAGCCCCCCAACCTCCAAGATGAGTCATTTGGGTTCCCACACAACGTATGATTAATAGTAACAAGCACTGGCACATTATCATCTTGTTTTTGATACACCTCTTATCATTAGACATCAGCGGTCTATTCTGAACAACAACTATATTCCACATTTAACACCTACATTTACCATAATGTGTCACTTAAAGCTGTTTTTAAAGCACTTTTACAAAAAACACTCCTAGGTCCATCTGACTTTCTTACTTAATGAGTCAGGTTACTCTGAGTTATGTGCTGCAGGACTGGAGCACAATGTCTGCAGTCATCAGCCAGCAAAAGGTTGGAGAGAGTTAAAAGAAGTTAACATTTAAACAAATGATAGCTCACCTATGGGAATCCTAGAGGCGCAAGCCTCGTCCCAACTGGACTCCCGCTTCAGATTGCGGACAAGCAGATCAGCGTCACAGATCACACCACTAAGTCCTTAATTACACTGGGTACTCTTTACTCATCTTTTTGATGCTTCTGGGTTCCCTGCCCTACTGCAAAAGCCTTTTGTTACAGCAATAGTAAAAATAATTGTCTGTGTCAGGCAGGACAGTTTCAGATGAACATGCTTTTTGAAGATGTTTCCTAAAACTTTTAGACTTTTTAGACTTTTGTGTCTTGCCTCAGGAGCCAGCAGTGTGGAGGCACTATTAGAAATGGATGATTTATTAGAAATACATTAGTTTAGCTGCAGAGGGGATCACTTTCCCTAATTACAACAGTGGCTGACATAGTTGCTTTACACAGAGCAAATCACACTTTCCACCAAGGAGCGTGGCTTCCTATAGGAGGCTATGTTACCCAACTGCAGTAAATATAGAAGCCAAACTTAGGCTGCCTTAGTAGTATTTAACACAAAACTGCCAACAAGTGCCTGATTAGTCATGTTCACTAGCATCGTACCCGTATTTTGAGCCTTATGGAAAGGTCAAATTTGCACAAGTGGCAGCCACTTTATTGTTTTCCCCACTCCACTCTTACAAACTTGGTTTTCCTCCCAGCTCTCCAAGAACTCCAGTCACAGTCTATCAGGACCCAAAACACTGCCATCACATACAATTCGCGAACGGTCAGATACCTTCTCTCTTGGAATCTTCTTTTTCCCACAGCCTTCACAAGTCAATGGAAATTTAGGGCAGACTTCATCATGAGCCTGTAAAAGAAGTGACAGGAGACTATTCGGTCATCTGAAAAAGAGCTCCAGTAAGGTTGCTATGATGAACACAATTCATCCTGTATAGTTCTATACTTTATTACAGAAGAGGGCTGTCCTCTAAAAGCACATTCTCAAATCTTGGTCACACCGGTGAGTCTGTGTGCCGATTCATTCCTATGATCTCCAGGCTACCAGAGTTTTGGGTGTATATGTAGCTTCCAAATCTCAACCTCCATTTAAAATTTACTATAATAACTTTAAGAAAAAAAATCAAACAACTGCTTTGATGGACAAGATAATCAACAGGAAGCTCCATTTATGGCTCTGTCAGGAAAATACATACTCAAGCAGGTTAAGTGAAATAATCCACTGTCTCAGTAAGATAATCTGTATATTTTTCCACTGTAATGGTTATCTGTTAAGTAAAGTAAGAATCCAGAGCCCACTTGTCACGTGCTGAGCTGAGCTGTCTGATAAGTGTCCTCCCATGCAAACCAGTTCACAAAACCATTTTTCAAACAGAAAGAAAAATATTTTAAAACAGTTTGATTTAATAACCCCTACACACAAGTAGCCACGCCTGCAGCAAGAGCACATGATTTGTTCAGCTTCTCTGGCCATGAAACAAGTAATCACAGCAATGCAATACTCTTGATCCTCAGCAGATACTAGGGCCAGCAACACCAGCTAAATTGGGAATGCTAGAACATCGCCCTGCTTTCTGTATCACTTCCGTAGTGCTGAAACCTTCTCTTTTTTCACACCAACTACTTGAAACAAGTGAGCAACTTCATACGTTGCTTTTCTAATTAGGGTTCCAGAGAACTGGTTTTGCTTTTTTGGCCAAGGTTACATGATGCGTCACCGTAAATTCCACTAATACGCAGTTCAAAATTCAGATTAAAAGATAAGCATACTGAACTATCCCCTCCCATAGTAGTAACAGAAAAAAAAATCAAATATTCAAAGTAGTTATGTGAAATCAAATGCTTGGAAAACTTGGTCACATTCATTCCGTACAAACTTACAGCATTAAAACAAGTTACTATTTGGAAGGGAGGGGGAGAAAGAGAAAAAACATACACTAGCTAAATTACTGTTACCACATCAGAAACTAGAAAGTGAAACCAATTAGTGGCTCAACTGTGGCTGCTTAGTTACTCTCTCCTTTTTATATTTTAAATGAGCACAGTCAAAAGATTTGCTGCACTCTCCCTAGAAAAGCAGTCTCCCAAGCCTGTGGTTCAACTGGGCATTGCTAAGTGCATATACGGATACCATGGATTAGTGCCATTGTCTACAGAGGAAACTCGTGAGGTGGGGCGCCTTACTTCATCCCGCTTGCGTAGAGGGGTTGAACCCTTTCTTCTACCCACCTATTGCTTTCATGTTCTAGAGACAGCAGATACTATCTTCCCTGCGACCCACAAAATGCTGGCATAAGAACAGATGCTACGGCCTGGCTGAAGGAAAGGAAACTTCACTGTAAATACAGCTATTTAAAAAGGGGGTATTTAAAACTTACATTTTCCTGTGCCAGTTGCTATGCACCAAGTTACTACCTCCTCTCCAATCAGCTTCACTTTGTCCTCCCCTCTCTCCCCACCTCCCAGCTATTCTAAATACACCACAAAGCATTTTAGTTCCATTTAGACTCCAAGTAGCACCAATATATAAACTACAATATACACACATCTCCGAGACGTATACCGAGTTTGCAGGAACAGAAAGGGAAGTGGTAGTTAAACACTACAGCTAAGCTGAAACTGCAGCCAGTCCACATGCAAATTGTTTTTAAGACCCCCAGAAACTGGCTTTAACCAGCACAGATCCAAACTCCTAGACAAACATTTCTGTAAAACCAGTTTCCAACTCTTCTGGAATCTCCCCTGTTCCAGCCCTGCCCCTTCTCCCTCTACAGGGGTGTCAGAGAAAGCTGTCTAAACAGAGACAAACGCGCTATAGCCGCTGGAAGAAATTCACTCCACCCAGGAGTGGAGAGTCAGGGGGTGCCATTCAAGCTTGATCCACTGTAGTCCACTCCCCCAGGCATGGAGCAATCCTGGTGCTTACAGCTCTCGCAAACCCACAGCTGTGAGCTTCACTGCCACGAGGACAAGCCTCTCTGACATTCAAGTGTACAGCCCAAAGGTTTTAGGCAGCTTTTGAAAGCCATCACTCTGAACAGGCTAGATAAGAGCAGTCTCTCTTCCGTTACGAACTTGTCCTGAAAATAAAATCAGATGGAGGTCGGAGAGATGAGACAACAATATAAGAATTACAGTGGAGCTGGAAGACACTTCTCTGACTCAGACCTTAAAAGCTACTCTCCAGTTGCCTCAGGGTCGACTTCTCACCCATCTGTTGTAAACCACAGCACAGAGCAGCCTGCAGATCAGGCCTCCAGAATTTAACAGCTGAAGTAGAAAAGTAAAACTGGGCAGAGTTAGTAGTCTCCACAGTAACGCCTTGTTCTTCCCACTCAGCTAAACCCCAAACCGTTGATTAACCTGAAAAATCAATATCCCTCCCTAAAAACAAACTGGAGGACAACCCAGTAACACCTCTGTACAACACACGCAGGTCACGCCTCAATCAGAACAAGCACTTCTCTATTAAGTTCAATTGAGAGACCAGGAAATCAGCTATTTAAAACCTCTGGAAGGACCATGATAGCCCACGAGCATTTGTTCAGTGCGCACATGCTTGTGGGTTACTACTGCAGCTACTCAGTCCACCAACACCTACCCATGCTCCTATCGAGAGCAGTGCAAATCAGCACTAACGGAGAACACTTGACACTTTTTTCCCTTGCCTCGAGGTCCCAGACAGCCAGGCCTGCCTGTGTATGTAGCTGCACGTGCGCGTGCCGTAACTCTCGTACCTTAATATCAGGAAAGTAGAAAAGCGATTTGCAGTATTTGCAGTTGAGGTTTCTCTCGGGGCACTCGCGCTCAGAATGGCGTTCCTTTTCATTGAGTTTGATCATTCCCTTACATGCCTGGCACTCAATCAGCATGAACGGGCAGTTCCCCTCATGGCAGCTCTGTGACAACAAGAGCAGCACATTTCAATATAGCCATACAAAAAAGCGCAGACACACACACACACACACACACACATATGCAAAGAAGATGGTTTCAATAACACAAGCTCATCTTGTGAGGTATGTAACAAGCACTTCCTAAAGAATGTCAGGATGGGCTGCTCTACTGGGCCTGCATAAATAAGACAAAAGGGAAACCTGCAGTTTAATCTGACTGCCATTCGGGATCTCGAGGCTCTGCTAAACTTGACTTGAGCTATGGAGAGGGTACTGTTTTCCCCTGTTCGCTCTTCAGCTCCAATGAAAAATGATTATCCTTGTATCACGGTGGCAGAACAAGACGTACATGTGCTCCTCAGCTGCCCTGTTCAGAACGTGCCATGTTAATGCAAATCCATTTTTGTGGAGGCTTTCAACTGCATTGGGCAATCCATCAGCATCAGACTACGCTCCCCTGCAGCTAAGGGCAAAGCAGGCAGCTGAGAAAAACAACCTTTGAAACAGCTGCTACAAGATGCCTCTGCCAGAGCCCTGGCAGGAAGGTTATGACAAAAGGGCAGGGTTGCCAGAGACACTAGATACAGCAGAATAGCAGTAGGATTGGTATAGGCTGCGCAACTCATCTCCACTGCAAATATGCTCCCACAGCTGCAGGTTGCTCTTCGAAAGCCATTAGCCCCCTTTGAGCATGGCAACAGCAGCCCTGAGCATTCACAGAGCTGAAAGACTGGCATCAGGAAGGGAGCAACTAAAGGAAGGAAAATTCACAGGAAAGCAGGGGAAAAACAACTGTGGTGGAACACAGCACAACAAGAGACAATGCTGGCAGAGCTTTCATAGTCTTTAGCCCAGGTTTTGCCACATCTAGCAAAAAGGTCCTTTGGCATCTCAGCCTAGGCATATTAAGAAAGCGAGCTCAAAGTTGTAGAGAAAACCTTGAAAACTCTTACACCTCTGCTGTAAGAGTTGCCTATCTAAGTTTAGGGGGAACCTGAATCACTTGTTCCAAGACATATGATTTGTCTCATGCACCTCTGCCAGGCCCACAGGGACTCGGAAGTCTCTGGGAGAGGAACTTGCCACAAAATTCAGTTACTTAGGAATTTCCTACTCTTCTGAGGTCAAGTATGTACCTTTTCATTTCATGTCTTTTCCTTGTTACGGAAACTCTGAGGAGAGACCTGCTTGAAGCCTTCCCCACGCAGATATTCTCTGGATTATCATGCACGCTCCTTGCGCTATTTTATAGAACCAGGCAGTGCAGGGCTGGGGACCAGGAACCCAACTTGTAAAGAGCAGAGCTGACTGGGAAAGGGGACTTTCTAAGAACGTCACAAGATCTAATGCCACATACAAATTTCTCCCTTTACTGGGACATGTTGGAGACAGACATCCAAGCGAGGCATTACGAATAATTAAACCTCAAACTGACCAAAATAAAGACTAAGTTCAAATCAGTAACTGCTCAGGGCCTTTGAGCTTTCGTTGGGCATACGTGGAAAAGTGAGGGAACAGGAATCCATCACAGCCTTAATTCTGCTGTCCAACACCATGGCATTCATGCAGGTTGCACAAAAATTGGTAGAAGTGATGCCACAGGTTTCACAAGGGCCTCATTCCCTTATGTTTTCAGAACAAGCACCTTAACTGCAGAAGATCTTCTACTTTCAGCATTCTTTGGTCTTACTAATTAGTGTTTAAGACTGATTTCTTTGACAGATGCTTGATTTGGGGTTTACTGGTAGGATTTCAAAATGGCGTGTTTCCTACGTTGAAGAAGCATTTGAAAGCTGTAGGTTTTATAAAACATTCCTACAGAAAGACTCTGGCTTTGCCTATTTGCCTGGAATGTAAGAATATTAGGCTATGTGACACTCAAAGAAGCTGTCTCCAAATTCTTGTGTGTTTTCTGATCTCCACCGTCCCAGAGGAACTATTTTGCTCAGAAGATTCTAGTCTGAAGGGGCTGTGGGGATGGATCCCCAGAACATTTGAGTTTTAGAACAAAAGCCTTAGATTGAACTTGACTTGGCCTCAGCAGAAGAACTTGCTAGGAGCACATGCTGGCCTAGGCCATGTAGAACGTGGTCAGCCACATTCAACCAGCTTCAGCCCTTGCATCCTTGTCATCCCTGCTGCAGATAGGGTCAACTTGATTTTGCAACAAAAAGACTAAAGCTACTTGTCAAGGATATTAAAAGTTGCTACATTGAAATATACTGAAACTTAGTATACAACTGTTTGACCTGTAAGGGACATTCAAAGGAATTGCAAACTTCTGATCCAGCGATCAGCTCCATAAGCCTTCTAGGCTGCAGTTAACAGTTGCAGTCACAGTCCTGTGAACAAGTGACCAAGATGAGCTGTTCCTATCTAATGAGGTCACAAACTCAATCACTGGAAAGTGGGCTCCAATCATGACACCACCCTAATGCCACTAGGCACCTGTACATTTTTAAAACGATACTTGCTTCTGGAAGACAAACACTATTATTAGCAGCATGAAGAACTGCAGTATTGACAGATGTGCTTTAGGTGTGCTAAAAACACTGACCATGCCAACCAATTTCTAGGATAGAGTTATTGGAGAGATCTCTCTTCCTTTAAGTAAGGGTTTTCACTAGCACGCAAAGCTTCATCTTAATCACTTAGATCAAAATGGACAACCTTAGGCTGAAACTTCAGGAGATAGCTTGACCTTAATGTTAAAACGGACGTTTTTGACAGAGGCCATATTCTGTGGCCCACAAATGCTGAGCGAAGACAGGCAGAGCCCCCGCTCTTTTGGTTCTCAGACTTCACAGCGGTGAATCAGCCAAGGCTGTGTCTCAGAAGCGTGAAGGTGTGGGCCTTACACAGAAGTGTTATCACAGCATTAGACTAAGAACACCACAGGCATTCAGAAGAGGGCAGATGAGACAAAAAACACAACTGGGACAGATGCCTTTCACAAGTTGGAGAAATCAAGCCTGTGGTGAGTAGCTTAATTTCAAATCTAATCTCTTTAGTTTGTCAAAAGAGTTGAAAGCACCTCTTTACCTCAGTGGGCTTTTACACAAATGACTGCATGTGATCATGGCTTTGGCACCTGCCTAATATCTGGAGTCCAGCAAATTCCTCACTGATAGTGAAATGCTGCCCCAAAACTCCAAAGGTTCTGTGTGCAAACTAAGCTTTCAAGGGGATTTTCATTAAGGCTTAGAAGGGACACGTCATTAATCTGAACTTCAAAGTTAGCAAGTTCCAGCTTTACATTTTCAAAGGGACAGATGCTAAAGCTGTAAATTAGGTGGGCCACCACAATAACGCTGAGTTGTTTCTAGGACCAAACACTAAGAGTGTAGCCCCCCTCTACAGCTGGGGCTTTCCAACCCCCTCCCACACACATTTTCTGGCACTCCCTGTGGCTTACCTCCCACAACGCGGGTTGGACAGGAAACAAGCTAGTATCTAGGCAGCCAGCTATATAAACTCTACTTCAAGGTCTGTAAGGGAGGCCAACTTTTGTTTGTGGATCTCAGCTACAAGGCTGGAAAGTAAAAAGGGATCAGATTCTTCTTTTCAAAGTAAGAACTCCTTTTGGTCATCTTTAGGTGCAAGTGCAGGGTATTGTAAGATAAGCTGACCTCTGGGTATAATGCTGATCAGACCGGAACTGGCTGCAAATGGCATTTCCATGCCATATCACAACCTGGAGCCAAAACACTCAGAGAAAGAATAAATGCTGTTCTTGATTTTAAGAAGAGAACTCTGATCTCCTTAGTAAGGCATCACCAAGTATGCTCGCCAAAAGCTTAAAATGCTGTATCTCATGCAGACAACAGTGCTATAAAACATACACAACTACATTTCAAAGAGGCAAGACAAGCCAGGTGAAGCTGCTTCAAAGACCAGCAGCTCTGTTGTAAACAATATGCAAAAGCCTGAAGCTGAAGTTTTCAGCCTACGCTGAAAATCACCAAAAACAATTAGACATTCTTAGGAACATGGCTGGAAAGAAGAATCATAAAACTGTGAAGCAGCATGAAACAGGAGACCCTTCTGGGTCCTGCCCCCCCCCCCCCAAAAAATTTTCTGGATCATCTCCCAGAGATCTGTAGCAACACAGGGCAGGAAGAAATTGCCCAAGTCACTTTGGGCCCTTAGTCACAGAAGTCACACAAGTCCAGAAGGGTCTGCAGGCATACTGTCTACCAGATTGAGCTTTGGAGTAGTAGTACTGAAGTTCTCAGTTTTGTGTCCTGCATGGTCTTTTAGGCTTTAATCAAAAGTGAACATTTCAAAGCCAAGGTGACAACTTACTGCAAGCAAAACACATCCCCTTCAATTTTGATTAGAATAGGTTATCGCCACAGATGACCTAATCTCATTAGCTGAACTCATCTGACTTACTAACCAAAAAACAAAACCAACAACAACAATAAAACAAACAAAAAACCCCCAACCCTCTTCACTGCTCTCTCTTCCTCTCAAAACTTAAATACTGTTGTCAGGATTACAAGTTTAGATCCTGCAGGACAATTTCATTTCGTTATTTCTCAAATAATTTTGTATTCCCCAAGATGAACAGGGCATCAATAAACACTCTGTTTGTGGCAACAAATGAAAATTAGCCACTGCTAACTATATAGATGCCTCTTCGCAGCCCCTTTTCTCCCATTCCAATCCCAGAATGGGCAGAACAAAACCTTGCTTGGCTTGGGTGACAGCAGTGGCTGGTAGCCCCCAGCCACCAGGCTGAGAGTAAACAGAAGCCATGAAGCTGCAGGTACTACACTGAGGGCTGGGAGGCAAATAAAGGGAGCTGATGACATGGAAGGCATAAATAAAGGACATAAGAGAGCTGAGGATATTTTGATAAAACAGAAGACAGACATGGGGAACTGGACGTACTGCAATGCAAAAAACAAACAAACAAACAAACAAACATGTTTCAGTACCGAGAAATCAAAGTGTTTAAGACCTCCATCACCCATGTAAATATTAATATCGTTCCCCCAAATCCCTCTACCCGGTTATCACAAGACTTGGTTTCTTTGGTCTTTTCTCTTGCTCTTAACAGGCTAGTTTTAGTTTCTTTAACTCTTCTCAGATTTTCCACCTGAATCTAAAGCCTCCTGGCCACAGCTTGCTTTTCTACATGTATACGTTCAGTCAGACTGATCAGAAAAACCAATATAGGAAAAGAGATTACAGAAAAGGAAAAGTCCTCCCACCCCACCATGGAATACTTTATCCAAATGGCACTACACATACACTACTGCACTCAGTGTCAGAAAAACGCATTTATAAACCCACACGTGTTCTAAGCACTTTATTTTACAAACTTCGCACAACTTTGAGCAGAAGGGCAAATCAAGTCCAAGGAGATTTCACTCTTTCTGTTTTGCATGCCCCCTTGAGACTTGAACTTTGATAAGGCTGAACAGAAAGCAAAACTGAGATTAATTTTTTTTATTCAGGATTGAAGGGCTAGAGCTTTTCAACTGCAGAACAGTTTTTTTCTTGTTTGTACCCTAGTAAGATTAGCAAGCCAGAAGTGACAATCTTTCTTGATTTATAAGTGGATAGCAGCCAAATGACTGTGTCTCAATACGAACACTGCACAATTTTTAAATGAGCAAACAATAAATTAGCTTTTAGGGACTTTCCATGTCCTGTCGGAAATAGCACAGCAAGGGACTTTCCATGGTGGGAGCACTGAGCTGCTGCAGGACGTTACACACATTGCTGGCTACAGATTCAACAGCACTGCACAAGGCAAGTCATATAGTAGAGCTGTGACACCAAAGCAATGCTCAGCTAACAAATCTACCCTGTAAAGCACTGTTTAACATGAGTCCACAGTAAGCAGGAGAGACTCTGGGTGAACGCATTCATTTGATACCTCCTTTCATCAATCTTCCTCAGCCACACATACCATCTCTTAAGCTCCAGACCATATGAGGACGGCCAGGCCTGATTAAATTCCACAGCTGTTTTGGAGGCAGCTGGGATGAGAGATAACACAAGCCAGACCCTGTCTCCTCCCACCAGTCAAGAATGAGTTTTTCCTGAGAGGGCGCAAAATAACATTACCCTCATTAGCACTGAATACCACACATGCTATGTTGAAGAGAGACAAAGCTCTCTCCCAGGATAAACCAGCTAGTACTGCTAGAAATCCCTGTTCTCCATTAAGTCACAGAAGACTGCCCTAAGACTAGCAAAAATTGTGGTAGTCAAGTTCAGTGCCGCAGATCTGCAGCCTAAGGATGCTGGAGTAGCACCTCTCCAAAACATACTTTATCTTTAGCAAAATACCTAGCAGAAGATTATCTGGAGGATAAAAAAGGAAGCACAGTGACATCAGTTCAGTCACTCTTAAACAGTTCTGCCTAAGATCCTAAAGAGCCACACATACTTGTAGCCTTGCAGGAAAGGAGACTTATCCCATGACACCTTGCAGCCTTTTGAAACTGCTAATCCAAGCACCAGCTGGGCCAAAGTCTGCATTTGGACACTTATCACACAGAGAGGACCTTCAGCAGCTGGTTTATGCTGAGCCCTACAGGAACTACCCTTCAAGGTTTTGGTTTGTTTTGTTTGTTTTTTTTTTTTCCCCTTTTTGAAATCCAAGAGAATTGAAGCTCTTAAGAGCTCATCAGCCACAGCACCCTGTCAATAGCATTGCAAGCTGCTGACAAATATAATTTGGTTTAGTTTAATGGAGATGAGCTCACTCACTACAATCACCATCTTGAACACTGCAGTGGGCATGAGACTTGTGTGTTAACAGCCAATGGTCACACAGCACAAAGTAAACTGTGCGTCAAGCAATCTGCAGGCATCAGCATCACACTTGGAATCTGGAACCTCAGTGAAACACTGCACCCTGAAATGCTACTCTAGAATTTTCTTTACTGGAAACCTTTAAGTAACCATCGGTTTTAACTTTTTAATTTCACATTTATTCAGTCACGCATATTCACACCACAAGCTACTCATGGATCTAAGAATGAGGGTTTCAAAGCAGGAGACTTGTTTAGCATCTTGCTTCCTCTTATCTTTGGACTAAAATTTTAGCATAGAGAAGCTGAAGGCTTTAGAAAAAAGGACAAGGAAGCATAGGTGCAGAACTATCCCTGTTAACACGCTCAGCAAGCTAGGCAGAAAACTGAGACATGACCCATAGCTGTGTTGTTTCTTCCTGCCAATCTGCAGCAGCATTGCACATAGAATCCCAGTGTTATACTACACAGACCAAGCTTAATCTTGGTTACTAACAAAGGTCCATGAGCCAAGGGGTTCAGATCTTAACCTGGGGAAAACACTGGAGGGGAAAAGAAAGTTTATTCCTCATATCTCAGTCCCTTCACTTGGTGGTTCTTACGTTCCAAGATGGATGACAAAGGCCGCCTCAGAAGCACCACAACTTCCCAGGTGAACTTGCATTTGCTCTTAGCTGCCAACACCTTTTAACAAGGCAAATCTCCACAGCAGAATTTACTTGCTGGGAAGTGGAGGGAAGCATGCCACATGTTAGGAACCACTTGCCACATCATATCTTCAGAGGTGTGCTAATGGCAAGCAAATCTCAGGCACCACAATTCTCAGGGAGAACCCATTTCTCTTGTGAGGCCCATTAGCTATATATACGCTAAAAACCAAATGCCCTGGGTCAGGTAAAGACTGAAGAAAGCCGGGATTAAATTGCTGATGGGCTCCTCAAGAAGAGGAAGGGTAGAAAAGCTTTCTTGTCCAGTAGTCTTGTGGCACAGATACCTCGGAGCGATCTGTGGCCAGTCAGTGAACGGCCAACCCCGCTGCCCTCATTTTGCAGCTACCACATGGCCCCATAGCTGTGAGAGCTGCTGGCTGGAAAGAGGTTGCTTTCCCCAGGCTCATGGCTCTGAAGTAGGTTTTAGGTTCACAGCAAACTTCACAGCAATCTCCTTGCACAGCAGCATTTCTTGACAGTTTGCTTGCATCTTTTATAGCAGAAAGGAGTTTAAGATTGGGTGACTGATTCTTGCCGTGGAAGTAATGTGGTTGGTGCCTGAGACCACAACCAAACTTGAAATTCCTTCAGCTCAGCTGATGCCCTCAGCAGGGCCCACAAACCTGGCTCAGTCAATAAATCTCTGCAAACTCCAGGAGGGCCCTGCTTACAATGAAGTACACAGAGGTGAAAGGTCCCACCATCACTGCCAGTATCAGCGCGGAGAATCGAAACTGCCTGGACTTTCCCTATCATCACACAAACAAAAAGGAAAGAAAAAGCACAAAGACATTGAAAGCCTTGCTTTGATCTTTACCTCATACTCTTTAATAGTCCCCTTCCAAGTGCAACCATCGTTAATACAGATGGCAGGCAGACTTTCTACCTCCCGACGAGCTGCATTGTCTGGGAAAGCCTGAAATCGGAAAAAAACAAACGAACAACAACAACAAACAATTAAACCACACAAATTACTGTGGGGTTGGAGTTTTGGTCCAGTTGCTTGATTCTTTATAAACCATTCTTAAAAAAAGACTTCTCCTCAAACCACTTTCCACATATCCTCAGAGGTGTGCTAATGGCAAACAAATCTTTATTACAGTGTTTAAATAGGCCACCTCTATATTAATATGACCTGGATATTAGAAGCTGGGGAGCCTATCACCACGTTAATCATAACTTTCACCACTGTTAATAACAGAACGTTTCCTAAGAACAATGAAATCTTAGACCTTGTGTTTTAAACAAAAACTGGAAGCGGTATCAGTGAGTTTGCTTTTATTTTTTAAAATGAGCTTTTACCTACCGAGCTTGTTTCTAAAATAGAAACTCCTTCTTCATATATTCCCTCCTGAATACAGCTGGCACATTTTTGAGGTCCCGAACTAGCAGACAGGAAAATAATAATCAAACACAACAGGAGGAGATGGCAACATACCAGTTCATGATACAGCTACAATGTAAAACTAAGGGATATCAACAGTTTCAAAGTTGTTATTTTAAAAAATATTTTTAGAATAACATATAGAACCTCTGCTCATCTGTATTTTGACACCCATTTTTGATTCTAATTTTTTTTCTTCTTGTGACCAATTGTTCTGTTGAACTTCCCTCACTTAAAGGCAGGAGTGAGTTAAAACAAAAGTAGACTTTTCTGAAAGCCTGAGTCCACTTAAATTTCTCACATTTTGACATGATAACCATATGAGGACTTTTTGGAGCAAACTCCTTCGACAGCTGTTAAAACGACTGAAAGATCAGGTGATCCACTTAGACTGTCAACAGAATTGCAAAAACAACCGAGGAGATTGCAGAAAAGTGGACTTTGAAGCAACCCCCAGAATAACACAAGCGAGCCAGAGATTACACATTCCCTTACAGAGGGCTTGATGATGAATTTCCAAGATAAAATACAACTTCCCTCACTGAGAAACCACTGAAAATAAGACATCATCTTCTTTGCCTCCACTTACTTTTAATCATTTTGTTTTCAGAGTGAAGGCACACAAGTTACCTTATAATTTTCTTCAGACAATAGGAACAGTAGCGATGTCCACACTGAGCTTGAAACGGCCTCCTCAATATATTCTTGCACTCTGAACAGAGGTATTTGACCTCCAATTTAGTGCCCAGTATCTCCTTGGAAAATCCAGGCTGGTTTAGATCCAAAGAGCCAGGTGGAGTAGAGTTTGCTGCTGCCATGGGAGCCAAAAATTCTGGCTGTATCTCAAAAGCCTGAAAAATAAAAATATTTTTCCTGTTTAATTAAAACTGCATGGTAGTAATTTTTCCACATAAGCTGTACTAGTTACAGCATGCTACACTGGCACCCAAAACCCAATACCACAGGTAGACCTCAGTCTAAACTATGACACTACCATAGTCAGAAATACAGAAACAAACCACCAACAACAAAATTTACACAGTTAACTTCAGAATTCAATCCAGGATAAGGTGAACAGACCTCACTAAAATCTCCCATCCTAGTTAGTTAATTGAGACATAGCCTATTCAGGGAAATCAAGGCTTCCAGCCCAAAACAAAGAAAAACACTCTTCTGAAGTTGAACTCATCAAGAGTATAAATAAATCACCTCAGTCCACCAAAAACCTGTAGGCACCAAGTGAAGTAGCCACAGCTTACTGCCACATGCTTTCATATCTGTCAGCTAATACTACCACGCGCTTTCATATCTGTCAGTTGTCAAAAAGGACTGTAATTCTACAGCAGTTCACGTGGGTCATAGGGAGACTCTCTACAAGCAGCTGTAGGGCCAGAATTTACTGACAATGCCCAGTCAGGTGCATGGGGCTCTCTAAAGGACTAGAGAATAAAGACGTGAAAGGCACAAACAAATCACAAAGCTAATAGTGTGTCGAGGGAGAGTCAATTCATTTGCTTTTGCTACTTATGATGGTCTAAACACGCGTCTCCTACCTTTGTGCGCTGCAACTATACCTCAGGGCGGTCTTAAACGCGTAAAATAACATATCCAGATAGGTCCTTTAAAATAATGCAGTGAAAAAAGCAGAGCTTCACTCAGAGCTCCAAATATTTTGCCTCTTAGATAACATTAGACTTTTGCCTGTCCCAGGAGTTGTTAAAGCTACAGGGCCACCAGCATGCTGATAAGGCAATCCTAGAACAGGGACAGCTAGACAAGTATTAAAGTTTACTATGCACAACCAAATCCCCCAAATCAGTACACAGGCAGCCTTGCTCCTGTGTCTGCTGAAGGGCCTCTGCCACTACAGCCATCTACATATCAACAGCTGTGTCAGCAATCCGTAGCATACAACTGGACCAAGCGTCACTGTTTTCCCGATGCACGTACGTAGCCACGTCTTTAATACTCTAAAATTTAGGCTGGGAGGGTCCCTGGATGTCATCTACTTCAACCTCCTGCTCAAAGCAGGGCTAACCTCTAAGTCGGATGAGATTTCTCAGAGCCATAGCCAGCTGAGTTTTGGAAGTCTCTGCTGATGGAGATCCCACCAGCTCTCTGGGACTCTGTTCCACTCTTGCAGGGAAGAACTTTTTCCAGATTCAAACAGACAATGAAGAAGTGAGAGGATAGCTGACAAGGTGTGGAAAGGCGTGATAGCAAACAGCTCGTTATGCAATCCACGCAAAACACAAACCTGAGCTGGTTTAACACAAAACCAGCTCAGGGCAAAACTCTACTTTGAGCCAGAAGCATGACAAGAAAAGGCAAGGAGCATCTCACCCGAAGGGCGCTGCACTGCAGCCGAAGGAGCCTACTAAGTGGCAGCAGTCATCACCCAACCCACCCTACCCTCGCACCAGAGAGACACCTTCCCCCTTCTTTTGGGTCAGATCACCCAGGTGCCCGAGGGGCAGCGCCAGGGAGGGGGGTACCTCCGGCCTCCCGCCGCCCTCCCGTCCCTACGCAGGGCCGACCCCGCAGA